TGTCGGTCAGACACCATCAGTACCATACTGTCGGCTCCGTGTCGGCATGGGTCTGAGCTTACGTTTCCAAATCAGAGACAAAACCGGGCCTCCAATTTACGTCGGTCGGGACACTGACGCCTGCCAGGGGCCCAGTGCCTAACAGGGGACGCGAATCGGCCAGAGGCAGTGTTCGAGGAGGCTCGGCCTGGCCTACAGAGCCCATCGGGACCGGCGACCAAGGGTCCGATTGGAGAGCCAAAGGGTAAAAAGGGATGACCGGAGTCTTACTCAGGGGTCCGGCTTGTGGGGACAGGTCCTCAAATAATGGTCAGAGGGCCTTTTGCGCCATCGGAGACTCCATGACTCTATAAAGGCCTATGTGGTGGACAGGTACCACCAAAATAGCAGAGTCAGCTACGTGTCTGTATGGGCCTAGGGGCCCACTTCAACAGCAGGACAAAACAGAGGACAGTGATTTACACTGATCGTGGCCTAATTTCTTCAGCATATTGCCTGAAGAAATTGCTTTAATCTTTATTAACTAACTCTGTACTACTTAAAGAAAACCGAGCCCTTCATCAACGGGTGAGCCATATCCGGCTATCTTGAGCGGCGTTCCTCAACCCTGAGCCCCCTCCTCTCCCCCTCCCCACCACCACCACTGCCCTGTCAAGGCTCTGGCTACGCTCCAGACTGAATGAGGAGAGCTCGTCGTCCGGGTCTACCGCTGCCAGAGGAGATTGCTTCACCAGGGTCCGCTGCCACGACGTAAGTAGTATACAACACCCATACTCCTCAAGGCTCGTACATGACCACTTCTCAAACCTAACCGCGCCGCCCAGAAAAAATTTAACCTGCTCTTCTCGAAGAGGCCCGGAGTGGCCTGTTGCGTAGCCAAGACCACGCTGGGAGTGGACGCCGACGGCTTGCCGACCTGGCTGGACAGCATGGCCGGCCGGGTGGCCTTATCTAGCCGGCGGCCATGACGGCGGTGGCGGCTGCCGTGGCGGCGACGGCCGTGGTGGCGCTGGATGCGCGACCCGTAGCCGCGTGGGCGCGATCGCTCCGCCAGTGCTGCCTGCGAGGTGTGGATTCCGGTGATGGCACCGGGCGTGGAGACTGGTGACTGATCCGAGTTGCAGTGTGGCGTTTTGTGTAGGAGGTAAACTGTCGTGGAACAGTAACACCTGACACCGGGCCGGGATGCTGGAGGCCCGCCGATCATGCGACCGGATTGGAAGCCTGGTGACCTACTCGCACCATCCTTAGTTACTTAGGTCAGCTGATGCAATCACTTAGGTCAACTATTGAGGCTCCCAGGTCACCATCTTGGGGTTAAATAAGGTCAAACGAAGTTAAACCCTGGGTTGGTCTCCAAAATGCCTGCAAAACCTAGATAGCTATTCTAGACAAAAGGTCACATGCTGATATAGAGCCATTGCCCTTTTTTGACCTTTTGGAGGTCGTGGTGACCAAAGTCATACAGGACTTATTTGAGTTTTGCTTTCGAATAAGCGACAAAGATTATACTAAGTGGCATGTTCTTAAAAACAAAATGCTGACCAGGGCCGCTTTAGGTCAGTGACCTATTCCGACCTTTAACAGGCCCATGGAAGACGTGTATTGTGGCTCCTGTTATCAATAAGCTTGCAATGAGGACCACAAACTACCCCACGCAGCAAGGTCTAGAGTAATAAAGCAGGTTGGGTTTGACCTTGGTCTGACCTTCATACCTGACCCTAGGTTAATGCAATTTGTTCATTCAATTGTTTTCTTACCTTAGAAAGTATCTAAAAAATGTATGGCTTCGTCTAGCACCCCGTCGTTGCATCAGATTGAACGATATCTCAGAAATTGACTTTGCTGAAACCATGGCCTGACTTTGACCTGCCATAGGTCAGCGACCTTACAAGATGGGTATAAACTTTTATGCTGAACGATTTGCTATTTATGTACAATTATGCGAAATTTGGCGCGGCAGCGCCGCGCCGTTTGAAAAACGAAAAGCCTTCGGAGGGGCGAATTTGACTCCCGTCCGAGCACGTGTAAGGCTTTTTACGATATTCAGAGGTTGTGCGATGTTCCTGGGGGCCTTATGTGTTCCTTTGCAAGGTCAATCCGAAATTGCTGGGATATTCTAGCTTGCCCAGGGTCCTTCCACGTTGGTTTCTGTTAGCCTACCGACACATTCACCACATGCTCATGGGCCCTCTACATTAGTCTACGGCCCTTCCAGTTTCCTGCCACTTGCGGAGGGCTCTACGCTCTTGTCGGGCGGCTTCATCAGTTAATCTGCTCGGGCACACTCGATCGTTTGGAGGCCCTTCACGTTGGGCCTCGTGCATTTCTTATTATAATAAAAGGCCCCCTGCTCTTGTCGGGGGCCATCTTTTAAGCTGCTTGAGCACACTCTACCGATCGGGGGTCTTCCACGTTGGGTATTGAGTGCTTCCTATTTTATTGGACGGCCCTGCGCTCTTGTCGGGCTCCCAGCCTGCTCGGCCACGCTGGATTGTTTGGGGGCCGTGCACACTGTGTCTTGGATACTTCCTATTTTCACGAAGGGTCATACCATAGTAGGGTCCTACTATCTGCTAACATGCCTGGCCGTTCTTGATCAATCAAGGGCCCTCCATGCATTCTTCACATTCACCCGAAAGGTTCTGTGCGCTATCGGCGAAGTCCGATACATCGGACTACGTTCAGTTGCGTAGGGGCCTTCATATTGGCATCGCGTGCTTTCCACTTGCTCGGAGGGCCCAGTGCTGTTGCTGGGCCCATGTAAGATAACGTACCGAGGCACTCGATGCTCAGGGAGCTTCTACATTGATCTAGGGCTCTTTCTCTTTGAGCTCACTTGCGGAGTACCCTTCACTCTTTCTGCTAACCTGCCCGGGCGGTCTTTATCGCACAGGGGCAGTTCTTGGGTTGTTCCTCTTTACTCCGAGGGTACTGTGCTCTGGCCGGGTCCCATATGTTGGCCTGCCAAGATACTTCCGATCGTTCAGAGGCCCCACTACATTGAGTTGAGGAGACAGTTGACGGGAGCCCCTTTGTTGGCCTGCCGCGGCACCCTCGATCGCTCAGGCGTCGTCGCTATTGGTTTTGGGTTTTCCCATATTAGAGGAGAGCCTACACCGTTGACGGGGATATAAATCTCAAAAATAACGATTGAAGCTTTACGTCTCGCTGACTGCTGGGGACATTTCGAGACGGATGCCTTTATTAGGTATCATTTTGGATGTCGTGGTGGCGTGACCGCGGCCCGAACCCTAGATCAAGAGGCTCAAATCGAGTGCCCTACCCGTTACACCACCACCGTCCCTGTCCTAGATCTTAATTAGCCGGGCACGCTTGATGGCTCCGGGGCTCTTCACATTAGTCGTGGGCTCTTCCGATGACGCCAGAAGGATTTTATTCTGTTGCGGGAAGCCCCACATGCGCTTGCGAGCACCAGAGCGTTTTGCCTGCTCGTTTGTACAAGCCTCACTAAATATTACTTCATGTGCACAAGTCCGAGATCACAGGATGAACCGATGAACTTTTATACGTAGTTCTCGAGCATAATGTTACGCATCGCCGATGTCGCGCATGTCATTTCCATTGGTTATTGAATTTGTGACACTTATGATACTTGCGCATTACGTTCTTAGAATATTTGAATGTCAGCATACTTGTTACACTTCTGTAGCAGTCAAAGCAAAAACTCTGCCTTAGTTACAAGCCATCAGCGGATCACATGGACTAGTCGGCTAGCCGTAAATAAGCTAGGCTTAAAATTCTAGGGGCCCACAATGCTGCCTCCCCCTGACGAAATCCTGAATCCGCCACTGGGCGAGAGAGGGGCTCCAGCCTGTGCGGTGCAGATCTGCACCGCGGCAGCAGCAGCACACAACGCGGCGTCTCTAGGATGCGTAACGCCTGAAAAAACGGCCTTTCTGTTCTATTAGAAGAGTGTCCCGACGTACCATGACACTATGGGAGGTGTCCTCTGTAGTGTCCCTCAGGTGCCCCTGCCTGCCTGCCTGGCCGTCGTGCCGCGGCTTGGACTTCTCGTTGCGCAGAAGAGTTATCAGAATGCTAAGAGAGTTGTCCCGGCTGGCCTCATCGCTGAGAGAAACAAGTTAGCGGCGCCTCGTGGAAACGTGCCGGCCTCTGCGTCATACAGCAACCCGGTAGGCGATAATCTTTGAAAGGTGTTTTGCGAGAGAATTGGAGTGATGGGCTGTCGTGACCAAGGTTGCAGTTCCCTTTTCAGCTGAAGTGATTCAGCCCCCACTCCAACTTGGCTGCAGCCCCCAACTTTTAGAAGAATATGGGTCAAATCCGGGGAGAAGCCCATTTGTTCTGCCCTATATCTGCCCTATTTGTTCTGCCCTATTGAAGCCCTATTCTGGGGCAGATTGAGTCTTTTCCCAGTGCTCAACCCCTCCATTTGTGTGTGTGTGTGTGTGTGTGTGTGTGTGTGTGTGTGTGTGTGTGTGTGTGTGTGTGTGTGTGTGTGTGTGTGTGTGTGTGTGTGTGTGTGTGTGTGTGTGTGTGTGTGTGTGTGTGTGTGTGTGTGTGTGTGTGTGTGTGTGTGTGTGTGTGTGTGTGTGTGTGTGTGTGTGTGTGTGTGTGTGTGTGTGTGTGTGTGTGTGTGTGTGTGTGTGTGAAACTGCGCCCCGGGCCGCGACGCTCACAGGTTGCCTACCTGTCTCGCGACCCTGAGAACCGGCCTGAGATCATCGTGCTTGTCTGCGACTCCAAATCACTTATTACAGGCGTCCTTTCCTTTTCTCATAAAACGTGACCTACGGTACGATACTGTGTACGGTAAAATCGGACAGAAGTGTGAGCGATTCGACGAAAACCAAGCCGCACTTCAAATGTCCGCGGCGGGCGGCGAACGGAATTGCTCCCAATGACATCACGGAGTGGTTCCCGTGGGGTGCACAAAAATTGCTTGGTGATTTTGCATTATATACATAGGCCTTGCCTGGGCGCATTTCGTTTCGCGCTAGTGGGTTGGATGTGCGGGGCCGCATTGAAAGGCAGCGGCAAATCAACCAACTTTGATAGATCAGGTTCATTGTTAGTTAGCTCTCTGTGAGAGGCGTCAGGTGAGCGGCTTCTTCCTGGCGAACTTAAATTGGGCATGTTGCCGCAGACCCAGTCTGAGATAAACCCATCCACTGCGCCGGACGTTTACGTGACATTGGTGTGATGAGCTCCGGGCTCGCCTACGCCGGTCGCAGGCCAGCGTGCGTTGAATTATCACAAAATGTCGAAATTAAAAATATTTTAAGGGATTTGTGCAACAAATTGTGATTGCCATATCACAACCTCTTGAAACATGAGTTCCTCATGCACTGAAAGTAGGTTTGACTGTGCACTGTCCTCTAGGAGATTTACATTATCTGCAATTTTTGCTGGGATGTCATTGCTATGCTTGACATGTGCAGTGTAACATGTATTTGTTTGCAGTCTGGCTGTAGGTGATTGGGGCCCTTTTTGCTTTGGTTATGAAGCTTGCTTGTAGAAATGCCTGTCAGACTTGGGTGGATTGGAACTGGATTGTGAAAGAATGTATGCTACAGTGAAGATGTCTAATGCAATAGTCACATCAATGCAAAAATACCAGGGCATGTACACCATAAATCTGAGCACATTACAGCAAATCTGAGTTTGATGCATGTCAGTGTATAAAGACCCAATGTTTCAAGGGATTGTGATTTTGCCAATATATTTAAATGTTTTTAATTATTTCATGGAAAAATGATTTGAGAACTAGGGCAATTTGGCTTTGCATAAGTTCAGTGCACACAAGGAAGGGATTCAGCTCATTGATGTGTAGAGGGGCAGGGGATAGATGTTTTGCAAACTTAGATTAGAGTGCAGGTTCCATAATTAAGCTGTTAGGATATATAAATTGGGTCAAGAGTGAGATACTAGGATGAACAAAATTTAGAAGCTTGTGTGTTTACATAGCTAATAAGCATATTTAATTGCAGGCCCAAGATGAAAGAAGACATAAAGGAACACTTCTTTGAGGGTGTGGAAAAACTGCTGGAAGTTTGGGTGGGTTCATCTTCTGACCATTTCAACAAGAACTGTGATCTGAGAGCAATCCCCAGGTAATCTGCTTTTTGTTTCTCATCACCTGGAAAGCATTAATTATTTGTACATATGCATGTTTGATGGGAACCACTACCAGGTGTGGATATTCTTCTTACTCCTTAGCACTACCTCAGCTTGGGCTGAGCAGTGTTATACCCTACCATGTTTGCAAAGTTAGGTTTTACTGCAGGGTGCTTAATCATGTGATTTAAACAGTGCTGGCTGAGAGATGGCATATTTCATGGTATTAGTTAAAGCTGTAGCTTACTGGGGCCATTCCTGGCTTTGACTGTGTGTTTGGAGGTTTTCAAGAGAGACTTACCACCAGGTGCATTTTTGGTTTTCTCCCTACAGCTGTGTTAGCCACTTAAGCTTAAATGGTTTTATTTTATGTCCATCCTAAAATAAATGATGTGCAATATTCCATGCTGGCAGTGAAATGTCATTCCCATGTGCCTTGTCATTTATTTTGTCAACAGTACCTATCAGTAAGATCTGAACTGTGCACTATTGCAAAGAACAGACTCAAAATCCTGCCTTTTGATATTAAAACTGCTGCCATCTCTGACAGAAGTGCTGTGTGTCTGTGTCTGACAGGGAGGCACTGGACCAGCTTATGGAAGATGCCAAGTGCGAGATCATCAGCACCAGGTCGAGCAGCCTGGTTGATGCCTATGTTCTCAGGTCAGCCACAGGCCTACAGCAACCTGCTGTGCAATGGTGACTGCTACCTGTGCAGCACGATTTTCTTTAGCATATGATTTGCCAAGGTGAAAGGCCATTTTTGGCTGAAAATGCATAGTATCTTGTTCATTGTCCAAGTGTTGGTGCATCTGTTGGTTTCCTCTTTTGTACAGTTCGACAACATTTTTCTCAACAAAACACATGCAGCACATGGGATGTATCAATGCATGATGGGTCCAGACATTGTTGCAATGCTGGGCCAGCCAACATGCCCAGACATCATAGGGACAGCAGATGCCTCTATCTGCTATCTGCTATCTTTTTTCACATAACAGCTATCTGTTAGCTGCTATCTGATGACCATTATCTGATAGTTGCTATCTGGACATGATGCTGCTATCTGCACTGCATTACTCCTTCTATGTTCAGACTGGGCCTCTTGTGGCTGAGCATGCTTATTTTGTGCTTACTGTTCTCTCCTATCACATTGACTGGCAACAACTGCCATGCTGTTGGTGTGCTGCAAAGTATGCATGTTTTGTTTGGTCTCCCTTTTTTAAAGTTGCTGAAATTTTTTGTAGAATTTGTGATCCAGGGTTCAAGCTAAGCATCCCTTTTGCACCTACACTGACCATGTCATCATTAGATAATTCCTGTTCGGGGAAGGGTTTTGTGGGCTACTGTGGCATGCACATGCTATGTGCTAACATGCACGTTAGATGGGCATCTGTCCGATCAGTTTGTTTTTTTGTTGTGAAATGATATTGACACTGAAGCAAACCATTCAACAATATTTGGTGTATCTTCAAGCCAGAGGTGTCCAGTAAACTAAAAGCCAGTAAGAAAACAAAAGCCAAAAGCAAAAACCAGTCCAGTAAATGGAATCGGTCTGCAGCTTATTAAGGTTACAGTATAGCACAGTCGGAAGACCCATCGTGAACACCGACCGGCAGCACCGACAAGGACCTGTGACTGGACAGAGCTCCCGGCCAGTGAAAACACGCCTTTGCATGGCTTAGTGACCTGCTGACGTCATTCTGTTAAGACACGATTCGTTTTTATGTGGCGTGCTGGACGCCATCGCACCACAACGTATTCCGCACACCAGATGCTGGCGCCGCCGTTCGCGGAAACACACGAGCGGAAGGCATCAAAGCCCGTCGAGAGCGTGCTATGCGTCTGTGTCTGCAGATGGGCGCGTGGGCGTCTGGAAACCCTCCCTCTTATCAAAATAATCTGTCTGAAAATCATCGGGGGCTGTGTGGCCGCAGAGTTCAAGCGCCCGAAAGCTTTAATAACCAACCAACGTGTCCAACAATCACACCGTCAGTGTGCTGAATGCCCTCATATTAATTCGTTATTGTCCTGGGTTCAAGTCGACGTTGTTTTGGGCTAGACGTCGCCAGCTGCGGTATGGTGGCACAGGATTACGCACGTGTCATGCCTTATGTAGCTAAATGTCGATAGATTGCCCCCGTTAACATGCTGATGTCTTTAATGCTGAATAGCATCGGTTAACGTTTCCGATTGGCGCATTTTCGGATAGTGACCTTGTTAGGTCCTAAAGTACCTGACTTACGGCTGCTGTGGCCCCCTCATTCGTGAGACCACCACCCAGCTTTCGAAAATCCTGTGACTCGAGCGTGACTGAAAGCTAAAATAGTGAGAGATTGCCCCCCCCCCCCTATCGCATGTCATTCTGGCGGGTGGTCAAGGACGCGTTAGGACATGACAGGGCACAGCGCCATGCTGTAGTGTCTGCCCATGTTCCAGCTTGACTTTGTGACAGAATAGCCCGTCGTGAACGAGATGGTTCAGCTGTGCTCATGAGCGCCACCCTACGTGTCTGTCAGTCGTCGGTCAGAGTGTCTGACGCACCGCCCGCTGAGCTACGGTGTTTATCTTCGAGCACTGCTCCTTGCCGCTGCCCTCTCTGGTTACTGTTGGTACGAAGGCGCTTATTGCCGTAATTGCCTGTTTTGCGTACATGCTTGAGATGCTTCTGAGTATTTTCTGGACCAGTTAGGCTCATTGAAGTTATTTAGTTCTTTGTTTCGTCTGCCGAGACAGCGAAAACATAGTATAACTAAGCCTAACAGCGAGGACCAGGAGTTTGAAATTTCGTGGTTGCCTGGCGGGTAACGAACTGACTTTGTGAGTTTCTCGTCAGGTTATGTAACAATGACTGCTGTCCTGAACTGGACAAACCTGCGCATTGACCGGACGATGCCTGGGGCGGGTTTGCAGCGAGAGCAGCATGTTCATCTCGCGCTGCCGTTTCATCCTGAAGACGTGCGGCACCACCACGCCTCTCAAGTGCATCCACCGCCTACTCGGCTTCGTCAAGCAATACACCAGCTTCACCCAGGTGGAGGTGAGTGGGACGTGCGCGAAGGCGGCGCCGCGGGGCGGGTGCGGGGCGCGCGAGCCGCTAAACCAGTCCCAGGCAACCTGTGCGGCCGCTCAGCGAGGCCGGACCGCGCTGCCACGCGCTCCGCACCCACAAACCCCCAGTGCTGAATGGAATGCGTCGTTGCCACCCCTTGGACGATTTGTGTTTGTCGGGCTTCGGGCGGTCCTGCTGGCTTCTCATCCTGCCCACGGGTGCGGCGCCGTGCGGGTAACATAACGGCGGCTGATTGGACGGTCGAATGCCTGGCTTCGGTCTTGTCACTACGACCTTCCCTCCGGTGCTTGGCATAGTCGTAGCTCAATCGCCATTCCGCTCATCATGTCACTTGCCGGCTGGTTGAACACTGCAGCGAGACCCGTTGCGGGCGTAGAATGACCGCTGTGATCGGCACGCCCGAAAGTCCCAATAAACAACGAGGAGAAAAAGTAGCGAGCCCGTTATGAAACTGCAATTTGCGAGGAGTCCGAAACCCGAGTGATGAATATCAGCAATATAACTCGCAGACAGTGCCGTAAAGCGCGAGTCATATGTCGCTCCTGGAGACACTGGTGGAAGGACAAGACAGCCAGTTAGGCTTACACTGGGACGTGTCGCCGGCAGGACATTTTCTACTCGCGGAAGAACTTCCGCCATCCGCACCTGCAGGACGAGACTCATCGCAGCTTCAGCGCCGAGGTGGCCGCCCTCGAGGACATGTTCCCCAGTGAGTGCGGCTGCAGGCGGGCTCGGCGGCGTGCGGACCCAGCTGGCGCAGGGAACTCCCAAAGGAAACCCCGATTAGTGCATTGTGTTGACTTGAGTATGCCGCCGGTCAACGTCTAAGCTGCTTGGATCGGCCACTCCGAACTAATTTACCATTAAACCAGGGCCTTGGAATGGTCCAGTCAACGCGGTTCGTGCACTCTTTCTCTCTCCCTCTCATTGGGTAAAGCCACAAACCCGCCGCCATGCTTATGAAGCCGACGTAGCGCCGGGCCGATGGGCCAGACGTGCGCGGCCAGCGCCGGACGTGTGTGACCAGTGCCGCACGCGTCCGCCGGCGCGTCGGCCGGACGTGCGCGGCCTGCGCCGGCGTCGCTGACAGTCGTGCGTGTCCCCTCGTCAGCCGGCTCCGCCTACTGCCTGGGCAAGATGAACGGCGACTGCTGGTACCTGTTTACGCTGGACCGGCCGTACGCGCTGCAGGCGGGCGGCCGCATGGCACCGCTGCCGGCGCCGCCGCCGCACGCGCCCACGCGCCGCCAGCCGGACCAGACGCTGGAAGTGGTCATGACCGACCTGGGCGAGGACGTGATGGGGCTGTTCTATCAGAGCACGTGCGCCACCGCCGCGGAGGCCACCAAGGTGAGGTGCCGTGCCGAACATCAGGCTGCCCAAGCCGACGCGTGAAGGCCTTTGCGTGAACGACTTAACCGTTATCCAGTTCGACTGTGCGATACCTCTGCTGAAACGCCGTGGGTTAGCTGTGGTACTTGGTGCAAAACAACCGGCTGTAAGGGGAGTTTGGTAAAGCTCGTGATGGAGGGAGCGGTGATTGTGTAGTGGTTAGGGTCCTCGTCTCGGGAGTCAGTGTCCTGGGTTCAGGTCTTGGCCACACCGTTACCGCATCCAACATGGTACCTGATGAAGGCATCCCGTCTCGTAATGGCTCTGGCAGTCGGTGAAACGTTTACCCCCACTCATTTTGAAACCTCGTGATGTAATCAGGCATGGCATAACATCTTCCACAAAACCGCCGCGAGATATCAGATCCGCATACCATCAAGACAGGAGTGTGGCGCCGCGGCGTGTCTCATGCCGTCGTGGCCGCGGCGCCTGGTCTCTGTCGGTGGTGGACTCGGCTGTGACCTGACCGTGTCCGGGCCGTTCCAGCGCTCGGGGATCGACCTGCTGCTGCCGGGCGTCAACATCGACGACGTGCTGTTCGAGCCGTGCGGCTACTCCATGAACGGCCTGCTGGACAATGTGGGTGACCGCTCGGGGGATGAGCACGGGCTGGGCGGAGCGTGGGGCCAAGGTCAGGTCAGCAGATGGGCTCAGCCCATGGGAGTCCTCGGGCAACGGACGCGGCGGTCACGGCTTGTTCCGTTGGGCGTTGTCGCTCCGCAGTGGCCGGCCGAGGCTTACTCTGGCTGCCCGCTGACGAACGGGTGCCGCCCTATGTGTGTTTGTTTGGACTTACCTCATGCGGTGTGCAGACGGGACGGAAAGAGCCTTGCGGTATACACCCGTTCTATGTTGAGTCTCCTTCGACGAACAGTGGCTCACGGACAAAATCCAGCCGAAATGTCTGCCGGACAGGAAGAGGTTTGTCGCAACGGCTACCTCTTCCCCATCATGTACGGGGAGTTTATTGATATCGTTACGTAATGCGCGTCATTCCATTTTCCTCATATTTTGCCAGTTGGATTGCAAGCGCCCGTTAATATCTTGATCCTGAGCAGTAGCAGCCGGGCCTCCGATGAGATGCGCGTGCTGAGGGTTTGGGATTTGCGAGCGTATTGACTACGTGTAGTCATGCAGCGTCCATGATGATAATGGCTGTACTAATGGGGTTTGTGCGCTCCGTACATCTGTGTATGGGGCTGGAGCTGATGCTTGGGACGAGAAGGCTGGGCGGTGTTTCTGAATTTGGGCAGGCACTGTGTGATGGCAGGTTTTAAATTGCGTCTAATTCCGAAGTACGTCGCGTGACCTTAAATATCATCAACGGCTTGCCGTAAGCTATCGATGTTTATGGAGCTCGGGTTGCCGGCTTTTCGTTAAACATTCAGGAAGAGAGTGAAACGCGGCCTCTTCCAACATGCCAGCTGCTGAAGTGCAAAATTCGGGTCACTGTCGCAGATCACAGCAGGTGTCACAGTAAGTGGGGGTGTGGCACCTCCGCTCTGCTTTCGTGCAGAGATGTCCAACGGTGCTCATTGCTTCCTGAACACAGTGGAGCTTGCCAGCGCGCTCCGTTCCGCGGGCTGTGGAACCCATAGCCGGGGGTCATCACCTGGGCGCAAAATGACTTAAAAGTCTGCACGTCCTGGAACCCCAATCGTCATACCCATAATTTAGTGCCTCAGTGAAAGTGTGGGCGTGGTAGCAGGGGTGACAAGGGATACGGATCATTTCTGAGGGAAACCGGAGGCAGTCACAACCTATGGAGAGCTTGATTTAAGAGTGTCGGTGTTGTGTTTTGTGGCAGGTTAATGCTCCCGTCGCGCGATAGCAGACGGGGAATTGAATATAACAGTTTCAGCGGTGGCATCGAAACCCCTCCCAGGAAAGTTTTTGACGGCGTATGACAGACGCCGGTCTGACATGTCCTTGTACCCTATTAAGCGTGGGTAATGGTTAACGCGTGCTCCGTTTCCGGCTGGCTAGGACGTGTACGATCTTGTAAGTACGCGGCGAGTGCGCGGAGTGCTCACACCCCTTATCCGCCATGCCTCGGCACAGGCCGCGCCAGGATGGGACTGTGGCGCAGCGCGCCCGTCGTGGCCACGAGATCGCTATAAGCTTGACGTGCCGTCGGCTCCTGCCCCCCCCCCTTCCCTCCCCCCTCCTGTGCCCGCTTTTCGCGCTGTTGTTGCATTGGCAGACTCGTTTCACGCAAGACCCTGAGAGGACTTGTGTCGCCCGCACATTCGTGTCACCGTACGAGTCGTGGCTGCTGTCATGGGAAGGCTTTCTGTCTGGATTTGGGCACATTTACCGCGCCCCGATCACGTGACGTTACGGATTGCGACGCTTCACACCGGCGCCGTCGCACCAGCTCTCCCCAACGCCTGTGTGTTTGTCCTGCGACCATTCCAGCATACTCGCGCACCCCAGGAGCGACTGCTACTAATCTAACGTTTAGACCAATCCACGCATGTGCCCGTGCTCATGCTCATGCTCGCACTAGCGCCTAGTAAATTCAGGTGGCTTGGTTGTGTTCTGGAACAATATGGTCTGTGTGGTATGTGTATCGACATAGCGTACGTAATTGCACTCTAGAGGCGGTTTTGGGCCAGTTTTTGGTTGCGGCACATGCATCTTGAATGACAAGAACTATTCGTTTGCGTCGTTTTCCGTTGTGGTCTAAAACGAATGTTACTTAATTTGCTCCACCTTCGAGACTCGCAAGCTCGAGGATATGACTGAACTCGCGTTTGATGTGAGATCTCGACGCGTATTTCATCACCTTGTGCAACCGTATATTTATCTGGTTATCCTTTTGGAGCGATTGTCATGACAATGGTTCACTGCCAGTGGCTCACTCATTGCCAACAGTGTCGCGCTATCTGTTAAGCGTTCTCGACAGTAAGCGTTTGCGTTTCGTCCGCCAGGGGTGCTACGTGACCATCCACATCACGCCGGAGCCTGGATTCAGCTACGTGTCGTTCGAGACCAACATCCCGCAGTCGTGCTACAAGGACGTCATCAACCGCGTCATCGACTGCTTCAAGCCCGGGAAGGTGCTGGTGACCGTCTTTGCCAACAAGGTGTGTTTTCGCCGACGCCACCGTATTGCGCCTGATGCCTCGTATTTTCGCTGATGCCTTTCATTGTGCCGGTGCAAGCCATTAGCCTCAAAACGTTTCATTTTGTCTGTGTCAGACGGTGAGAACGTTTGTAAAATTGCATGACGCCCATGGACATGCACTGGAAGCACGAACTCTGGGCGTTTTCATTCCTCATGCGTCATGCAAGCTTGTATGCTTGACTTTGCACTTGGTTCAGTGCCTGACACGGCGTGCTGCGCGTGGCGTGCGTGTGTGTGATTGATAGTGTGGCCCGTGACATCTCCGTCGTGAGCAGGCCCGGGGGCGGGGCTCTGGGAGTGGTGCCGCCCCGACTGACGCCGCTGGGGCCTTCCAGACGTCCAAGGCGAACGCCTTCACTCGCCAGCTGTGCCTGCCGTCGATCCGGCCCAAGTACGCGCAGCGCGACCTGCAGTACTGCAGCGTGCGCGGCTACGACCTCGTCTACGGCCTGTTCGACTGCTGGCCGTCCTAGTGGGCGGCGCGGCCGCGGCGCCGGCGGCCGGGCGTCGGCGGGCCGCGGCCCGGACCGGGCGGGCGCGGGAGGCGGGGTGCGCGCGGCCGCAGCCGGGGCTGGTCCCGGCGGCGCGGCCGCCGCATCGACACGGGCGTGGACAACATCTCCTGAGGCGGCGCGCTGGCAGTAGGAGGCGTTTGTTTTGATGGCTGCGCCGGGCGCGGTGCTCGCAGTGCGGCGCTGGCGCGGAGGTGCCGTGCCGTAGCGTGGCGGCCGGGCTGTGGACACGCCCCGCGCTGCGAGCACTCGCCCACGGTAGCCTAGTTCGGCGGCAGGCGCAGGCGCCTCAGGTGGCCGCCAGCCCCTGGGGTGTCCGCGACTGCCGTGACCTGTGATAGACGCGGCGTATGAGCTGTCCTCTCCTACAGGGACGCAATGCGATAGTGGGCGGGCGGCAGGCGCCCTCACGGGACCGGGCCGGGCTGTGACGGCGCGCAGGTGGCGCTGCCCCCGCCGTCACTGCGCTCTGGCCGCGCCCGTGAGAGCGCCGGCCGGCCCCGCCGTGTTGCTCGTTTGTTGGCTGTGTAGTGGACGCCACGCTCTCTTGCCAGTCGCACTCCTGATCTCAGTGTTCCGGTACAAACGCTCCCGCCGCGTGCGCCGGCCCGGCCCGGCCCGGCCCGGCTCGCGCAATTACCGCCGTCCCCCGCCTCGCCCCGCCCTGGCCCTCTCCCTGCCCCATCCATGACGACGGCAGCAGAACTCGGACCTCCCAATGGACACGTGCCGGGGTTTACTAACAGGGCTGTAGATAGTTGTTTACTTCTGGGGCTCCTACGCGGTGGTCAGGCGAATAATGCTAGCAGATAGTGGCAAACGATGCTAGCAGAAACAGGAGAAGATTCTTGTTGTAACAGGCCTCTTTGAGAAGGTGGTTCGCAGATAGTTCAGGGCGCCCACTTTAAGGTCACTCGGAGGTAGGATCTATAAGGCTACCCCTCTCGCGATATCAGACGTGAGGGGTAAGCAGTACGAGCTGAGGGGCGCCAGTTGCTGCGGCGTGTCAGCACCTAGGCGGTGTTGACGTGCCTACACGCTTGGGTTTTCAGAAAGTGGCGGCACCGCTGCAGCCAGCCGGACGGGTAGTCCTCTGGGAATTTGCGATTATGTTGAACATTTTACTCGTCGGACGTTACGGCCAATGTTATGGGCCATTCGCCACTGCTTCTGGCCTTGGTGTACGTGTTATGTTCTTTGTATTCCTCATAGGAATTGCATGTCCTAAGCAGATGTCCGATGGCTTTCGTTTCTAGCGACATCTGCTAGCGGAACGCTGCTGCGTTGTGACCCGTTGTACGACTTGCGTCTTCGGCGGTGTCCCGATGTGCATCTCGCGCGGTAGCGTTAATACTCACCTGGTGCAGGATATAGCTATCCCCATGCTTCATCAGACGATGCTAAGCAGTTTCCGTGGTGCTCGAGAATGACATTGGATTGTGAATACACGACCGATGCCCGCGGCATTGTGTGCAAACCACTGGGTATCGTAACATGAAGCAGGGGCGCAGCCAGGAGCTTGGTTAGGGGCGTGCCGCTGGTGAAAGTCCCCACGTACTAAGGAAAGTCACCTCACTTGATTTCTAAGCCCAATTTGTGTCGCTTTCTTGTCTTCTTCTGGTTTATCTTTTTCATCTCAGACAGGATGCAGATGCCACCGGAACATGCAAGTTTCTTGTATTTAGGGATGAGTGAGCTCAAGGAACCAGGTATGAAATGAACCCGTTGAATATTTCACCAGTGCTATTCATAACGGTTCAGTAGTCTTAACAGAAAACAGTGTGGGCGTTATCGAAACCTGTTTGGGGAGGCGAGCGGTAATGGTGAAGTGGCTGGATGCCCGTCTCCGGATTTTTGGTCCGAGGTTTCGGGTCCCGGCCACGCTTCTACCACCTCCCACGGGTATCTAATCAAGGCATCCCGTCTCGAAATGGCCCTGGCGGTCGGTGACACGTGAAGCTTTAATCATTCTCGGTGTTGGAATGGGTCTGGGTTCGGGGTTTTCGGGGTTCGGCAGGGATATTGAATGGCACCACGGGTTACGCGTAGTGTGCACCTCGGAACAAGGTTACCAACTTGCACTGATATGGCCAATACAGCGCTTTATGACATCAGGCAGTTCGTGCGGAAGGTATTTCGCAACCCTGCACGCGAGAATGAGTTTTTTCCAGGGGTGCCGTATGTTGGCTAGCACGATACAGGGCCGCCGACCTGAGTAACGCGCGGCCAGGGGGTCAAATCAATAAAATAGGTGACGTCAGCCGACTTCCGACTTACATAACCGGCTTACAGCGCTTCCACAGCGATATCCGCGTTCACACGGCCGCACCCGTCGCGCGCGGCAAGTATGTCGAATTGACCACCGCAAGCTTAGGCATTGCCGCTGCGACTGACCCAGCAGCGTTGAGAGATGCGATGTCATTGGGTCAACCGAGTAAAGTTGATGCTTTTGCCCGATGCCCGACAACCATGCTGAAATGCCATCTGGAAGCCCAAGAGCGATGCTTTCAAATGCACGTGGTCGCACTACTTTCCCGAGCCATCGTATTCTGGCCATCATCCTACGTCAGGCCCGCCGCATGTAGCATTGCGCATGAGCTCATGAGCTCATATGGACACAACAGCTGATACACACCGATTACCGTCCGTTTTATATTGTCAGACGATAGTGCTCCCATATCGATACAGTGAGCACACGACTCCACCCTCCGCGCAAGGCAATACGTATTTGTAATTGGCCGCCGTAGCATGTACGGTCTGCACAACATTGATTGAGAGTCAGTCAACGTCTGTTGTATTTGGAAATCGTGCTGACGGTCAACGCCACATATGAACGGCTCGGCGATTATATTCTTCTTGGCTTTGAACGCCGCATGGCAAAAGGACTGTCAGGAGCTGAACACTGGTTTCATGGCGACGTACATGGCTGGATGGCGTTGAAATAGTCGGCACGAAAAAGTCTGCACAACTTTGCGGGCGTGTAACTCAGAAACTAGGTGGCTTTAGGTTTTGATAAGGGCGCGCCTGTGAAGTGCACCGAATTATCTTTAAGATGGCTTTTTCATTTCAAAACTACATACAGATGAGGAATACTCCCTTTCATAATGGGCCCTCAGAGATCACATGAACAAAACACAAAAAAAAACTGTCGGCCGGTGACCAGGCTCCAACGCCGGCATTACTGCTCCCATAGTGGGTTAGTCGTGTACTGACGGCTGGTTGGTATAAAAAGACGAAGTTTTATAGGCGCTGTGACTTCGCGAATAGTCCCTTCTGATGTCCACTCACCGTTGAAGTGTGCGTTGTTGGGGGATCAACTCTATATAAAAATAGATTCCTTCATCAAACAAGTATGCTGTAGTGCCAACTTAAAACCCTACAGCACCGTCATGGAATGCACACGGTAGCACTCTTCGCACGGAATTGAATTAATTGACTATGCGCCTTAATAGGGTGTTTCTAACGTATTTGAGGATTCTACGGCGACCCTGGAAAAATACTTCTAATCGCACGTAGAGAGTGGAACTGTTTGCGCCAGACAGCGCTGCCAGAGGACTATCCGGTGCACGTGCCATATACTTGTCCGGTTACGGCATCCATGTTATTCAGCCGACTCAGTGATAGCGCCAGACTCAATGCTGGTGGGGCAGCCACGGCGCCGCTTTGCCAAGGTGTTGCGTCGAATCTCAAATGTTCTGTGTGGCGGGCAGCCAGTGCGACCACGTGCTTATGATAGTTGAGTGTTCTGCTTGTATACTTAACTTCCACACTATCACTAAATCCACACTACGTGTGGATGGCACGGTCTTTTTGTTCTATCACCCGTCGACGGCGCACAATCGCAGCCGGCCGGCCAATGCAGTGATGGGCAGCATATGGTGGCCTCGGGAACAAAACACTTATCGTTGAGCGCGAAGAGTGCGGTTGTATGCACTCAATAGCGCTGATATAGCGCTGTCAGCTTTCAGTACACGTCTCACTCGATGATGCCTGGGCGGCCGCAGCGGAAATTCACAAAGGAATAGCGTTCAATTTCAAATGTTTTTATTCGGATGCGGGAGGTGTAAAAGCGCACGCGATGCCATTTTGGGAGCACTTTTGGTCGCGAATCGGTCATCGGCCGACATCATCTGTTTTGTTCAAATGGTCTCTGCACTGAGTTGCTGGATTGCTCAATGTGTCTGACAGGCGCATAGCGTGGTGGTCAGTATACGGATGCCCGGAGAGATGCTCATTATTGTCTTGCAAATACTTGTAATCAGTTGCACAAAACAACGCGCTTACCGAACCGGGCATTCACTTCATGAAGTCGACCCTACCACGCTCAATGCTGACGGGCTGGCAGCAGCAGACATCTACAACGTATGGCGTCGAATTGAATAATTATTTTAGTGGTATGTGTATTGGAAAGCACCGTCACAGGGCTATTAAAAGCTAACAAAACATTTATTCGACATACACATCCATTTTATTCGGTCGATCCTGCGACATTGTCTCCCTGAATTATGGTTGGCTGGCTTTAGCGGTGATTTGCACAGGTGCTGCGCCCCTTTTAAAATACATCTAGTCGCACGTCACGTGAGCGGCGATTTGCACACGATATCCTGATGCACTGAACGACGGGTTAGCACTAAAGGCCGGCATTGCAAATTGCTCATTCCCCAACATTACTTTTTTACCAAACTATCCCTTGACGACTCACTGCAATCTACGTCCTGCCGGGCAGGAAGGACATGGCCAGCATACGATACCCCTGGACAAACACTTAAAATCGCGTCCGAAGAGTTTGGCTGTGTGCATTCAGTGACGTTTCTATAGGGCTATAAGCTGCCAGTACAGCACATTTGCGTGATTACAGCCTTCATCTATTCTGTCGTCCTCCCTAGAACGTCTCACTCGATACTGGCAGCAACCGACATGTGCAGTTTACAGCGTCCAATTGAAAAGTCATTGTAGTGGTGTGTGTATCGGTTGGTTAGGTTAAGTCAGGATAAGTTAGGCTAGGTTAGGTTAGGTTAGGTTAGGTTAGGTTAGGTTAGCTGTGCCATTATAATAATGGTTTTCAGACTGCGGTACACCGTCCGGGAAATTCTGGAGACAGGTTTTAAGAATAAGTGGCAGATATCTCATATAAACGTAACCAATGTAGCTCATGAGTGGCAAAAGACCCAAGCAAGCATTGGTGGCAGATGTCATTGAACTGAATTATGTGCATGGTTTAGTCAAACCGCTCCTCCGATCCGTGCGATAAACAAGAGATGATGAAGCTAGAGCAGTAGAATAGCATAGTTTTGCAGCATTAATTTAGTTTCACCTTGGTTGCAGACCCACGCCTCATTTGTCGCAAGACCGGCCGCTCTGCACGTTTGGTGCAGTGGGGTGCCATATCGTGCATTTAACGTGAATATTCATGATTTTGCTTTTGGGTTAAACTTTGGAGCGTCGTATGTTAATTTGCTGTGAATTGACACGTTTCCGTATAAGGACTTGGTCGAGGTGTTCGTCTTCACAAGGCATACCAAAGGTAAGCGCTCGATGGCCAGGCAGATTTCATGTTATCATTTCTGGTACATCACATTTCATTGATGTTTGATGTTTTTATTCTGCTTATGCTAGTGTTGTGTAACATCGCAGTTCATCATTTGCTAACAGATTAGTTCATTAGTTAGTAATGAGTTCAAATCATCAGTAATTTTTTAGTTATGTTTATTTTTCCTGGCTCTGCCATTTTCAGCTTTTTCATTGTTGTTGCATTGATTTTGTTTGCTGTTTTTTCAAACCTGTATTGTGTAGTGTGCTAATATATTAGTGTTAATGGATGTTTCAGATTTAGATGCCCCTCCTTTTGGCATATTCCTGTGATTATTACTATTTGCCTGTATACTTGAGATGCCTATCAACCTACCAGGAAAGGTGGCAGACCAGCTGACAAGATGTTTTGGTTGGGTCTGATTGTGCCCCAAATGAGGCAGCCAGCATCTGTGCTTGGCATATTGGCTGATAATTGACAACTGGGGGCTCCAAGATTTTCCTGAAAGTTTAATTTGCATCTACTGACAACTAATTTCTCTTCCTAAGAGCTACAGGACAAATGTGAAGTTAACAGCAATCCCTATATCTTATGCCTTATATCCAGCAACCTTATATCTTTTGTGATGCAAGTATTTGGCTCATTATAAAAGCTCATAATTTCAGAGCTGCTATGCTGAGTACAGTCCATCTAGCATGGCATTCTTTGCTTCAGGCAAGCTCTTGAGCAAGAATGGGAGTTTTGAGCTTGCAGTATGTTTTTTTTTTTGCTTGGGTGCTTGAATTTAATGGGGGGGGGGGCTTTTGGGTTACAGGGGTTGTGCAGGCAACTGCATGCAGGGTTGGACAGGATAATATAGGTAATTGAGACAACCATGATGGAGTTTAAACAAGTGTGGCATATTTGGTCTTTGTATTAGCTGTGCCTCAAATGATTATCACTTATTCATTCTTAAGCACTTTGTTGTATTTTATGGTTACTCCCAACCTTAGTTCCAAGTTAATACCTGTCTCAAGATACCTCAAGTAACCACAAAATAATGTTGCCCACTCAAGTTTAGGAACAAAGTTATTGCTCTAAGCTCACCCCCAAATTTTCAAAGTGTACCCAAAATATCAATTTTGGCCCTGATTCCATCCTACAATATTGCTTCAAAATCTGCCAGGTTTGGCAAACTGGCTCATCCAACATTTGCAATTGTTATACCAATGTAGTTCACAACTTTCCTCTGCATGTTGACCCAGTATTCACATTATGGGCCCTACCATTCTTGAAATGGTCTGCATGAACTGAGTAGAGTGCGTACCTCACATAGCACTAAATATTCCAGACATTATTAGTAGTTTGGGTGCCTTTGTATAATTACGTGCCATATTATAGCGAAAGGTAGAGTTTTGCTCACACACCACCTACCTAGTTTGCTTCAAGTGGTGCATACAGTTCTGCATGTCAATGCTTATTGGTATAAGATATTAAGAAATATTTAATTGATCACTTACAGCAGTACTGCAATATCTCTTGGAAACAATTAGTATTATATGACAGCCATGGTAGCATATGACAGCAAGGCATTGGAATAGATAGCTTGGTCTTTACCAATGTAGCTGGGAGGACAGCAGCATGAGCCATGTGACTGACTGAAGTATTATTGTAACCATGCAGTCAGCCATCAAGGGCTGCAATTCATCCAGCCACCTACTGCACAAAACTCTGTCACCAGTGGTTTTGGCTAATAACCAATCTGCTCACTAGGTGAATAATCATGTCGCTGGCAGATTCCATATTTGCTCTTTCAAGTTAAGCACCTGCAGGGACAAAGTTAGTCATGACCTCTCAGCACCATAATTGCACCACACTAAAGCTGTCACCCACCCGGCCTTGCTGACGTCCCCTGCCCGCCCCCCCCCCCCCCTGTTGGCCCTCTCTGCCGCACAGACCGGCCGCCATGACGGTCAAGTCGGGTCGCGTGCGGTGCTTCTTCGACCTGGAGCTGGACGGCGTGCCGCTGGGCCGGGTGGTGTTCGAGCTGTTCAGCGACCTGTGCCCGATCACGGCCGAGAACTTTCGCGCCCTCTGCACCGGCGAGAAAGGCCTCGGCCAGAACACAGGCAAGCCGCTGCACTACCAGCACGTCAAGCTGCACCGCGTCGTCAAGGACTTTATGATCCAGGGCGGCGACTTCTCGGCCGGCAACGGCACCGGCGGCGAGTCCATCTACGGCGGCACCTTCGACGGTGGGTGGAATGGCTTATCTCTCCCTCAGGCAGTGGGGGGGGGGGGGGGGGGGCGACGCGAGCCCACTGCGGGCTTCTGGCCGAGCCAGTACGGGAGGGGAGAGGTTGAGACGTGTGGAACAGATGTGAAGTGTAGTGCTGGTGTGCCTGATGCCCACTTTGCGTGATTTGATATAGAGGAAGCCCATTTGTCGTGGCATCTTGAAGAGGGTGCTGTGGTAGCTTAGCATGTTGATCGTTAGGCTTGAAGTCTGTGCAGGCCAGAGGGAATGGGTGAGTTGTGTTCCGACAAGGCATTTGGGCTGCATAGCTGGCTGTTCTCGTCTTTAGCTTGCAACTGACAGGGAGGAGGCTGCATGATATAACTACCGGAGTACATTTTATTTGCTGGCTGATAGTTCACCATCGCCCCTGATATAGAGGAGAAGGGGATTGATGCGACACCTCTGCAATTTCCGAACTAAAAAAAGACAGTCCCCCTCGCGTGCAGTTTTAAAACGAAGGAAGACTGTAAACGAAACAGTGGATTGGTGTCGGAAAAATTTAATTATTGGTGCCACGTTTTATGTTGGTAGCTCGATAATTGGTCCCATCATGCTGGTTCAAACGTTAATTTTCTTCTGAACGTCGCATGTTTTTAGGTTGACATCCCAATTGCTACAAAACTGTGTTGCATGACAGCATAAAACTTAAGCAGAAGTGTTCCTGATTTATTATACAGTTTCGTGTTTTGAACATGTATTTATGTACTGGGCTCCGTTCATGTGCCAGTGTCGGCTGCCGTACGCGATCGACGAATCTGTCGGCTGCCTCCCGCCGCCTGCGCCGGCCGTAGGTTACCGCGCAGTGGTCCGAAAAGCCGTCGCCACTCTGAAATTAGATATGTTAGAGACGTTTTTGGTGTCAAAACTCGTACAACGATTGCCCCATACTCCACCAAAAAAATTGGGCGTGGTTACACGACATGCCGTGGAGATAGTCTTAAAAAAACGTATGGGGTCGCATCACCTCCCTCTCTTTAGGCGGCTAGGGCTGAAGGGTTAACCTTCGCAAGTTATTTGTTCTGCTTGGCTGTTACAGATGAAAACTTCGAACTCGAGCATGACCAGCCGTTCCTGCTATCCATGGCGAATCGCGGCAAGAATACCAACGGATCCCAGTTCTTTCTGTGAGCCATCCACAAGTTGTCGCTACACTGTTAATGTCACATTTCGAGTATTTCAGGTCTTGTTGTAAACATGCTCACTCATACTGGAAGCTTTGCAGCACACTTTGAGCTCAAATGTAAATGCATATTTTGTCTCTGGGTACGCATTGATTGGCATATGTTTGATGCGTTCATATGCTGCTCCCTGTTCTTGTCATATGTTGTACATTTTTCTGGCTGCTCATTCATAGCCCTACAGGGTGTATTGTCATCTTCGCTAGCATTTAATTCCCATGCATTTCAGTCATGACGCTGGTTGTGCGTCGGAACTATGATTTTGTTCGTTCGTTGTTTCGTATCATTTTTTGTGTGAAGTGTCGTCTGCTGACGTGGACAGATGCTAATCCGTTCTATCTCCGTGTAGAATGTAAGCCGTCCTACGAGATTTACCGTGTTCAACCATTTGTTTTGTCTTGTAGAACTACCCAGCCTGCGCCGCACCTGAATGGGTGAGTGTCAATACGTGCTGAGGCTATTAACATGGCAGTTGACATGCATATTTCGACTGTATATATATATATATATATATATATATATATATATATATATATATATATATATATATATATATATATATATATATATTGCCATTGTTACACTGGTTAGTTTGTATGGCGCTCAGCTGGTCTACCTGAAATCGTCGGATGGTCGGTCCAAATGTAATTGGCTGCAAACCGGTTGCAGCCGATTTAGCTGGATCAAATTACAATGTGTACCACTTCGTTTCATCTCGATGGCATATGGCGGTTGAATATGAAAGACACAATGCCTTGATGGTAGCGGGCGCGGATGAAATGATCATGACTGCGATACTCGTTTTACGTACATGCACTTCATACATCTGCGGGCAACAGTGGCGCCGCACGTGCCTCGTTGGCGGTGTGGCGCGTGGGCTGGTGCGCCGACTCCGCGTGCGGTCGGTGCCTGACGACCGTCCCGTCGTCGTCCGCAGAGTTCACGTAGTGTTCGGGCACGTGGTGTCCGGCCAGGAGGTCGTGACCCAGGTGGAGTCGGTGTCCACGGACAACAAGTCGCGTCCGCTGCAGGACGTGCGCATCGCCCGCTGCGGCGAGCTGGTGCTGCAGACCAAGCAGAAGGGTAAGCCGGCGCCGGCGGGGACGGTGGCGGCCTGCCTGCCGACCTCTTGACACTGCCATGCCTCGAGTGATCGGACACCGGGGAGTGGGGAGGGGGGAAGGGGGGTAATTGTGGGTAGCCTGTTTGGCATGACTGATGAGTGGTTACCGTGGTGAGTGATTTGGGCCGGGGAGGTAGAATATCTGACTACTGCATCTGCATCCAAATTCGTCATCGCGCATATGACTATGTAGTGGGTTCTAGCCTGCTGGCATGTCAAATTGGAGTGCAAACGCTGTGATAATGTGCGCTGTGATAATCAGGAGGGTTTAGAGGTTTTGTTTCATATGTTTTATGTAGGCACTTTGTTTACAGAAAAGAAGAAGAAGAAGAAACGAGACCGAAGTGCTTCTTCTGAGGCGGAGGAAAGGAGCAAAAAGAAAAAGAAACACGACAAAAAGGAAAAGAAGGCAAAGAAAGCCAAGGAATCGTGAGTTAACTCGATGCGGCTGTGAAACAGTAGAAGCTGTACTCGTGTCCCCACTATCACTGTTCTGTCTTGCATGGGAAGCCTGGACATGTGGAAGGAGTGGTGTACCGAACCACGCTCTACCGTCCACCGGCCACCGAGGGCGTACAGACAGTGGCCGCCACTGTGTGGAGTTTGTGCGTGACCTGTAGACGCTCCGGGTCGGTCCGTGTCTAGGGTTGGTCTGCGCCACCGCGGTCTGCGGCGCCCCTGACCTACCTGACCTACCTACTGCGGCCTACCGCCTGCAGGGAGGCGCCTGAGGAGGGCGAGGTGGCGGAGGAGGCGACAGAGGAGCCAGCCGGTGCCGACCACCCGCTCGCCTCTACCACCAAGATCGATCCGGACGAGATCCCACCCGTGCCCGAGAACCGCTTCTTGGACCGTGGCGGGGGACGCGCCGGCGCCGGCGGCGACGGAGGCGGAGAGAGCAGCCGGCCTCGCGAGCGGGAGCGCGAGGGAGAGCACCGGCACAGGGAGCGGCGCCGCTCGCGTACCGAGATCCGCGCCGGCAAGCGCATCAAAGGGCGCGGCTTCCTGGTACGGCCGGGTCGGGCCGGCAGGGGACGCCGGACGGTGACCGCCTGGGCTCGGGATCGTTAGTCAATGCTAGAATAAAGTTTGGTTAGGTTATGTTCCCTGCTTTCCAGTTATGACTTTGTGTACGGGATGCGTCCTGATTTGGGTGGTCCCAGTGACCACACGTTAATTCATCCTATTGCGTCATTTCGGGACAAGGATGTATACCATTGACGTGCGGTTTGTTGCATAATCATGATTACCGACCGCTCTTTTGCAGGCGGGAGCCTATCAAAACGTCTCATATATCATGCCACGAGTTTCGCGAAAGGATGGTGCCCAAACCGCCGATTAATACCGTCGTCCTTGATGCCAGAACAAGCTCCCGCTGATGGACTGCGTTCGGCATCTAGGCCTTGTGTGTTCGAAGTATAAGATTGTCTGCGTATTGCAGTCTGTAGTCCCACCGCGTGCGTGTTGTCCAGCGCCAAAGTGAGCGTGTTGTCCGGCCGGCAGCGGTACGACCCGGAGATGGCCCGCTCTCGCAGCCGCACGCCGCCCCACTGGCGCGTCGCGCAGAAGCGCACCATCAAACTGAGCGACTTCGAGGTCAGGGGCGCACCGCGCTGGCCCGCCCTGCGTGGCGCGCGTTTGTACACGGAGTTGGCGCGGCCTTTGTTGGGCGTGGCACGCACGCCGACTTGTGTGATCCTTGCCGCGCCATGCTACTTGTTTGGCAGGCAAACGTGCGAGTTCGTAGTGGAGTTTCAGTTTTGATGTTTGGACGTTCAGTTTCTCGTAATGGAGAGTCCGATGACCAACGTTTCAATGGCGTCCTGCTTTGCCGACGTGTTGGGGTAACTCGTTGATTTTAATGTGCTGTTTGTTAAGCTTTGCGTTTTTCCGCCTATGCGCAAGTTCATTGTTACGCTATGCTGCGTCAGTTTCGTTGTCGGGTTCCGCCCCGAGCGAGCCGCCCTCACGCACCCACAGCCGTCGGCGTTCCGCCCTCCTCCCTCCTTTCTGACCGCCTCGTGTGTGTGTCCGACAGCGTATCAAGGAGCAGGAGAGCCGGCGCGCCGAGGAGCTGAAGACCCGCGAGGAGGAGCGCCAGAAGCGCCACGCCGAGCGCGACCAGCAGGAGCAGGAGCGACGCGAGCGGCGCCACAAGGAGCGCGAGGAGCGGCACAAGTGAGACCCCTCGCACACCCGCTGTCACCCACCACCTGCGACGGAGAATGTGCGCCGTGTGCTGCCGCCGACCCTAATGGGGTGGTCTTAGCGTGGTGGTCTGGGACGTCTTTAGGGCGTGTCTCCTGGTTTGAGGGCTGTCGTGTCTGGTTGACGATTTTGTCCGGTACACGTAGTGTGCTCTGCGCAGAATATCTGCCCAATTCTTATGCAAACTTTGCTTTAACGTGGGGGTTTAGAGCTTTTTCGATTGCGGTGCTGTACTAAGGAGCATGGAGAATGGAGAAGGCGTTGAGGCGTGGAGAAAAAGTGTACCACCTCTGGGTCATATTTCAAAAACATACTCTGATGAAACCTCGGGACCATGTAGCACCGGGCACTGTCACTGCGGCATCATCAGTATATAATAAGGATATGAGTTGTAATTATTGTCTGGTCCAAATTATTCTGTCAATGCTCTGGAACAGCACCACGCTTCCTCATTTTGTGGTCGCCCCAAAGTACATCCCCCGAGTCCGCGGCAGCTGCAGTTATCTTGACCGCCGTTGTCATGACGACGGCAGTATTTGCTCAAGGCTGTTGTCAGCTGTTACGGGTTAGAGATACCACCTGAGTAATTATAACTCACACATTGCGGACGTTCGCACTTAACAGTGGCACCTCTACCGCTATGAATGACGTATGTACAAATGAAGATCTTTGCGAGCTGCACAGCGGGCGGCAAGGGCCAGTTACCGAAACGTGCTACCGAGACCTCTCTGAACAGAGTGTGTCAAACTTTCGTAGCATTTATTCCGCAAACATTTTGACAAATTGGCGTGTTGCAAACATTACAGAACACACACGTGGGAAAAACAAGGAAAATGACATGGATTACTTTCATAGTGACGAACAGGGAGTCCAGCGAGATTCCTCCCGCGGAAGCGGCTATTTCAAATGGAAATTATGAGCTACGCGGATGGATATTGAGAAACTGGTATTTCTGATCAAATCAGACGCGTCTAACCCGACAAGTGAAAAGTACGAACAGGTGGCATGCATCCTTTAATCGTGGTCGTTTACTGTACCGTTATCATGTAGGAGAAAGCGTGGAGGCATGGAACTTCGTCATGCAAGGAGAGCTTGGGGATCACAGTTATTGTCAGTCACTGCTTTTTGGAATGCTTTTTTTCAAAATATCTGCCCCATCAACCCATTAATGCACTAGTAGTCAATGGACCAGCACCGCGTTAATGCGCCATTGTGGCCAGTTGGCCGGGTTGTGTGGATTACTAAGAGGTGGTGGTAATTTCCCTTTTGTGTGAAATGTAATTCGCACGCCATGATTAAATTGTCGAAGCGTCGTGACATGATCATGTTTCATGCTAAAAGACTGGCACGTTGCAGCTCCAATAATCACGCGTTGTTTCTGACTTCTGGGAAATCACAGGGCTTCGACGAGGAAAGGCATGAAATAAGCCCTTTAAATTTAGATGTCCCATTGGCCGAGGGGAGGATATGGAGTGCCCTATGGCCCATTGACGCCGGGTTTTGCTCTAAGACAGAAGGCGAACTACTCCCCGACTGTCCTCTGTGCACCATGGTGTACCGGATTCGCATAGCGGCCGTGTCGGAAGCAAAATTGCTAAAAAGTTGCAGTGTTGGACGAAAGGGTTGGCAATGCGAAAGATGTAATGACATTTCGGAGGAAATGCCCAAATTCTCTACTTATGCCACAGGCAAATACTCATCATGTTAACATTGTCCACGTTTTTGCCTGTCCAAGTTGCACATCCGATGAAAATCACCGATGACCTTTCTCCTTGGCCCCATATCCTTCCAATCGCATATAGCAGGCAATGTGTGAGAGCGTGTGTGGCCATTCTTGCCGTTATGGCCAATATATGCACATGCATATATATATATATATATATATATATATATATATATATATATATATGTATATATATACCGGACCGGTGCATTGTTTGTCCGCAATAGTATGGATAGCTCATCTAGCATATGCATATCGAAAATTACAAATAAATCCTAAAAATAAAAATGCGCTGACACAAACAGTCGGTCATCGAAACCACAGGAGATACTAGAGTTTTATCTTAATGTAGCGTCCAGAATTATTATTTGGCACGTTAAGCTTTGCATGCTGTCACTATTCTTTGCAGACCCAAAGAACGTACCAAATACAGCTGTTTATGTGTTGTTGAGATAAATGCAAAATTCATAATCCAGCAGCCTTTCGTACCGAGTCCCCGGACCGGTGCATGGTTTGTCCGCAATAATATGGATAGCTCGTCTAACAACCGGCCAGCGTTGATGACTGATCACCGAACCGTCCATGTCGTGGTGCTGTGGGACACAATCCTCCGCATCGTGCCTGACATGAGGCCGAAGGTCAACCTGTCTCATAAGCTGAATCGGTCGGCCTATCTGGGGTGATGGTTCAGGGTGCGCGCATTGAGTTCTGCTCAACGAGTGCTCAGAGCCCAGCGTCACACCGCGGTGAGTTTGAGAGAAGTTTCGAAAAAAAACCCTCTCGTCTCGTCATCACGTGGATGGTAGTTAACGCTATCTTCTCGCAAAACGATGACATCATGCTTTTGATGAGATCCAGTACGCTGAGCCACTCATTGTCTTGCGAGCGCCTCCGTCGCGCCTGCGCAGAATAACCTGATATCAACCGCGACGCCACTGTGCTTTATATAGCCTAAGTGACGCTGACGTCATGGCGCGGAATTTCTGAGGCCGACCAGGGCCGCAGTGGCTCTCTCCCGGGAATCCGGGGACTCGACGGTGGCGAACGTGCTTTCCACTGCGGGAACTCCAGTTCTAAGGTGGGTTGGAGCGGCGATGGGAAGTCATCATCTCTTCATCCTCCCAACCGACGTGGCTCAGTTTTGTCTTGCCTTTAAAAGCACGTTCTCTCCTCCCAAATGCCTATAAATATTTTTTTTTAAATAGTGAGTTCTGTGAAGTAGCAGAGCGAAAGGAATTGGGTCCACGGGAAGTGCGTAAAGCGCGTGCGTTCGGGTTGAGTGCGTAAAAAGTTTTCCATAGCCTGCCATCTGGGCAACTGCCATAGCGATGGCTGCGGGGGCGCGCGTGGCGATCGGCCTGCCTGCCCGCCCGCGGTCCTCGGTAGGATTGGTGGCGGCCGGGCGTATTCGGTCGGGTCCCACGGCCAGGGCCGCCGGCAACACGTCCCCAGTCCGGCCAGCCGTACCCGCGCCTCGGAGGTCGAGGCGATTCGGAACGGTTCTGGAGGGGGCTTGGCCTTGGGTCGCACGCCGGGTAGGCGGCGCGTCGGCAGGTGGGCGGTGCGGTGCGTGTGGGCATAGTTCTCTTCAGTGGGAGAACATGGATATTCTCCACACGGGAATGATAGGAGGTAAATGGGATGTGTTTAGCGCTGTGTTAATGCGATCTTATTGGGATTGCGCCTGAAGTTTGTCATTAGTTGGGGATTTAAGGAGCATGCAGGATGTTTTCGTCAGTCATTGGTACACACACAATATATATTGCGTGACAATTGAGGTGCAAGGGAAGAGTAAATAACGACCTAGGCGCTAACGTGTACGAACGTTTGAGTAAAATCAAGGCTTTAGGCTAGTAAGTATGAAAAGTAAGTTCGGTTCTAAAGCTACATATTTTGTCCAAAGCTAACCGTAGATTACGTCCAATTTAAGTGCATCTAGACTATCTTTATCCGGCACAGTCATTCCGTTTTTGCAGAAAAATGTACCCCATGAAAAAGAGGCAAAATCATCGTCGCGTGGTCTTGTCATGTGACGTAACCTTTCAGGATTAATTGCGTGGCAAACACTAAAGCAAATCCGATTATTAACATGCCTGTGCCATTGTGCGCCACACCTGAAGGTCAAGTTTACACGAGGTATTTTAGGCTTAATCGACTGCTGCCGTGCGATTTACGACGCACGCTGCTGAGCCTCTCGTGGACCGTGTTTGGTGGCTTCGAAGCATGGCCGCAGAGCTGCCGACCACGGCTCGTGTTTTGGCTGACCGACAGACAAGCTCAGGCATGCCCTTGGGTCTGATAAACCCGACAGGAGACGCGACGTTCACGTGCTGACGCCGTGCTGCAAGTTTGGGGACGAGGGCGCACCTTCGTCTTGCCTTACCGTGACTCCGTCTGTCGTAGGCTCCGTCGCACCTTGGCCATTGCGGCGGAATGGTGGTTTTCTTCAAGATCGGACATGCCCATCATTGTGCAGAGGGCATGGCAGACAAGCGAAATCGGCGTGCATACAGATAGGCGCCTCATGACAGCGTGCCGCCACTATCCTGACATGTGTTATCTACTCTTTACAGCATGCACGTTCTCAGATGTGCGATGTTTTCGATTCTACCAAGCAGCAGCTTCTCATTGTCACTTCATTGCATTTATTTTCATGGAAAAGGAAAGAAAGACGGGGGCTTCAACCACTACACCGATATTGTAGTGGTTGAGCTGCGCGTCCGAGAAACCCGAGTTACAGGGTTCGATTCCTCGCGGTGCCTGCCCTTCCTGCCAGGATGACATGCGGGCGACACCGTAGGCCTTCTGCAGTGGAGTGTGCTGTCGCACCCCAATGACGACGACGACGGTGAAAAGGCAAACAGTGAACAGAATGTGTTTGGTTGTCGCATGTAACATCGTCAGTGGGAGACGCCATGTGAGCCCAGTGGTCCGGTGGTGGGCGGCCTCCGTGTGTGCCGGCCCCGGCCGGACCGGCGCCCACTGTTCACCAAGTACGCCCGGTGACGCCGTCTGCCCGTCCGACCGACAGACGGCGGGCCGGCCGCTCGGGCGAGGACGCTGAGCGCGGCGGTTCGGCCGGCCGCCAGCAGGAGGAGCCGGCCGCCGGCGCCGCCGCCGCCGGACCCGACCAGCAGCCGCCCGGTGACCCGCCGGCCGCCGCCGCCGCCGCCGCCGCCGCCGCCGCCGCCGCAGGTGAGGCAGCGCCGGCCGCCGGGAGCGGGCCTCCAGCCCCGGCCTCCACCTCCGCATGGCCGCGCCCCCATGGCGGAATAGGGCACCGGATGGACGGCACTTTGTGGCGCCTTAAACCCAGGTCGACGTCAACCACGGAGACGGGAATGGCATGACTGATGCAATGTGTCCCTCACCGCTGCCCAGCGAGATTGGGATGCAAGATGCATGTTTTGATTCGGGGTAATTTGACAGATTGACATAGATCGTGGTGATGATAGGGACATTACCTGGTGTGCCCCGTTCAGGGGAATTAGTCTTTCTTTTCGGCGCAGCATTGTCGAGGTCTTTCAATGAATGGGAATGATACCGGATTAAATATTTTACCTGTCGTACAAATATCTAAAGCTTCTTGATGTGTCAGCTATACCTGCAAGTTATTATGAGGTGCTCTGCTTTTCCCGTTTTTCAACCGGCATGTTTGTTTAAGATCGTTGCATGCAAAAACCTAGCACGGCCGGTACTAACTAATGTTTATGGGCTAATTTGGCCCTTGCCAAATTAGCCCATAAACCTTTCATAGCCTCGATGATTATGTCGGCCGTTAGTCTCATGATTTGGGTACGGGCGAGGCTCCAAAGTAGAGCCATGTCCACGCTTGTCAACATAATCATATCTCCATCTTCGTCCACGTAGAACCGCAAAGTACCAGATGTGGTGTTTTGGGGACGAGACACATTACTTTTGCATGCAGACGCTGAATCACTCAAGGTCTTACTTGGCACCCAATATTTGCATGTTACCAGCGCCCAATTTTTGCATGCTACCTATGGTCAGCAAACGATCGCTCATAAATTCGCCAGTTCACTTGATTGACATCCATGTGGCGTCACATAGTACATGTGCAAAGCTCAATGACCACAACGTCAACGTTGGACGACGAAAGGGACGGTTATTGGAGGGGCTAAGGCTACTGTAACCATTAATGTCCCCTGTCAGAGAGCGTAGGTGACGCTTGATATCAAAACGAATTGCTGCATAGATGTGATCGCTCTGAAAGTGTGTGATATCGCCGTTTGCGGTTCAGCTAACCAGCCGCCGACTGAACCATTTATTGCGTGCGTGAGTCACGCGAGTTGCCCCACAGTTCATTCCACCCAGGCCAGAGAGCGTGCCGATACCGCAGGGACCCTGACGCCAATTGATTTCAACAGTGACGCCATCCGTTATCACCTTGACCCCCGCCGAGCAACTCCTGTCTTCCGACATCGATGCGGTGCTCATTGGCCGACTTTGAGCTGCTCGTCGGATGCCGGGCCTCTGCGCGTGGTCCCGAGCCTCTGCGTGGGGTGCCGATCCCCTGTGCGGGTTGCCAAGCCTCTACGCGGGGTGCCGAGCCTCTGCGTGGGGTGCCGAGCCTCTGTGTGGCGTGCCGAGCCGCTGCGCGGCGTGCCGAGATTGCGCGGGGTGCCGAGCCTGTGCGTGGGATGCCGAGCCGCTGCGCGGAGTGCCGAGACTGCGCGGGGTGCCGAGTCTCTGCGCGGGGAGCCACCAGCCGGCGAGCGCCGACGCACGCTGATTCCGGCAGCGGAGTGGTCACGGACGTTAGACACCTGCCGGGGGAGTCCTACGCACAGCTGCACCGGCTGATGAGGAGTATCGGCACAGCGGGGGCATTGGAGGGGATTTGTGGCAGCGGGGGGGGGGGGGGGGGGGGGAGGGAGAAGTCCCCGCAGGCCACGCAGGCATGGCGACGGAATACAAAGGCGGAATGTCTCACCCGAGTGCAGGCATTTGATACTTTGGATGCCGGACGTACGTAATTGGCTTTGATGGCGGCGGCTTTGATTTGAGGTGGCATTTCTGTGGACTGAAGTCGAAGTTGTATGGCAAATAGTGTTATGTGTAATCGCCACCGGTAGGTCAGCTGCGGTTCTAGGCGTGCGCGTTATATTGTCGGGGCTCCGTACGAATGAATTGTATTTGGATTTGAGAAGGCGAAGCGTTCTTTGCGATCTCAATTAAAACAACTTCAGACGTTTCGGTTAGTCAAGGAGCGCATGCCCCGTGCCTGTTGCTGGCTTGCGTTGCGAGACCAGGTCGTCTCACGTATCCACAGTCACACACACTGCGAGGGGGCAGTGTTGGAAATTCCAAAGAATTCCTGGTAGCCGAGTACAAATTTTGCATAGTGGAGTACAAAATTATTCAAGTGCTGCGGGTCATTGCAGTTTTATTTAGGTTATCTTTGAGAGATAACAGTACAATGGGTGCCACTCAACAAAAGCGCCAATCTTCATATACAGCAATTCATGTAAAAGCACTTTAAATGAAAGAAAGCATCAGAACAAAACGTGGCACACTGAAACAACACAGTCTCATACTCTGTACTATGCAACACATGTGCATATACATGGGTTTGCAATTTATGAAAGGATCTGTGCATACACCCTCCAAAACGGAGAGTAAGCACGCATTGGGCTTATACACTCTTGAAAATGGAGGGTGAGTACGATACGCATAGGCAGAGAAAAATGGTACCCCAAAAATGCAAATGAACACGCCACAGACGGCCACCTACTCATGCTCCACCACGATCACGCTACTCACGCTCCACCACGGTCACGCTTCTGACGCTCCACCACGGTCACGCTTCTGACGCTCCACCACGGTCACGCTACTCACGCTCTACCACGGTCACGCTACTCACGCTCTACCAGCTAACTGGTTTTGAAAACAGCTAAGCATTCATGCCCTCCACTTCCAACTCCCGATCAACGGACGAGGCCCTGCACGTCCCACCCGAATAATAGAGACAGGCGGCACTGTTAACCGATATACTGAGCCAGCGCGAGTACAATGCCTGACAGACGCGTGCAAGCCGGCCAAAAGGGATCGGAGGCGGTCATTCCGCTGATTCCGGCGGATATTGCAATGTATTAATGGATTTTGATGCGCTTTAACCGATATTGCGAAATATGATAAGTTGTGTAGCAATTTAATGATGTTTTTGTCCTAATAAACCATTCTCCTTAATTTGCCAGGCCAAAGTTATGGGTTCATGTTACTCTGGTGTCCTGGTGTTTTTTCCGGAGGGAGATGGTTGTCTCCGAACAGTTTTTTGTGGCTGTTTATGGCAACGTGTTTCGACTATAAAGGATATTTTGTAAGGCCTGAATTACCAGCTTTAATTTCCCACCCTCTGGTGACAAATTGAACTTGGTTTAAATCCACAGCTGCCGCAACATTTTTGCACTCCTGATACTAGGAAGCGGCCAAAAATCCAACCGCATGGCGGTTCTGGATGAGTACAAATAAGTCGGTCATAATCGTGATGCCCATCTCTATACAGCTTCCGTACAAATGTTTACAAATCTGTTCAGCGCATGAGCACGAACAGAATATTTATGCTCTTGACAAATCAGTCACGAGGGGCAAATCATTAAAACCAACTGGAGAGTTTTGCTATGTTCAGCCTCCAACCTGAGGTGGGAGACGGGCGCAGGGCGCTGAATAGTTTCCGACGCTGAATTGCGAGTTATCCTCTTATTTGCATTGCCATGACACAGTGGTGTTGCGTGAGTAGGCGGCCGTCTGTGGTAGGTGATTAGACGTGTGATTTTCTATGACTGTTCGTTGCATCCTTGGCAATTAATGCGGTTCGTCGTCAATGGTAGGTTAAGCCATGTTCAAGTTTGAGTTGGAAGGGCATAGGAAGTGAGAGCTTTGCTAATCTACAAACCGGTGCGATTCTGGTACTCGTTTCTCACTTCCCGGTATTGCTCAAAGGCGATTCCATTCAACATTTACCCACTTCATTTTTCAAATTTCCATACATGGTTCGTCATATACCTAGGTGGCAACACAGGCTACTTGCTACTGGGCATCTTGGTCTGGTGTGTGCAAGATTTGTGCCCTTGCAGATTTCGATACATGACTCCTGATGGAAATAGCAAGTCTCAAGGTGTTGCACCGTCTGGTTTCGTTTTGTGCTGACACAAAGAGGCAAAATAAGTTTTTCCAAAAACTGTTTTTGTTGCATCATGATGGAGCACAAAATATTTCAGTTTACTTAGTCACAATCCTGGAGTACAAAATCTCCTGGTATACATTATGCCAGGAAACGTCAAGTTTTCCAACACTGGGCTGGGGGTGCCGCGCAGCTGTGCGGGGCCGCCAGACGCGCCGCCCGGCTCTCCTGGCCGACACCGCGCCCGGCTGACAGCCGCACGGAGCAGGTCACGTGACACGCGGCCTCGGCCCGCGCGCGCCGGCGTGAAATTCGCGCGCGGCTCTCGTCCATATAAGCGTAGGAGGTAGGATGCTGCTGTTGAGCAGGATCAACCGCAGGTCGAGGGAAGCTCAAAAGCAGCTGCAACCAAAACCAGCACATGGATAACGCCGCCTTTAGAATTAGATACTTAAAAAAATAAAAATAAAATAATTCCCAGCGTATAAGGGTCAGGCGTATGTGGGAAAGGCTGAACGTATGGTCTCCCGGCCCTGTGTATTCGCGCTCTAACGATCTACAGGAAGGCCGTAGGGATTATTGGTCTTAATCATGAGCGTCCGTGCTGTAATGGGTCTCGTATGCCGTGCGAAAAAGATCAGCGCCCCATCCTGTGCAAATAACCCAACGACGGGATGTTCGTAGCAGTCGAAAGCTATGTAGTCAAGCTGCGAATGCAGGTGTGTGACCGTATTGTATGATTCAGAATGGCCGACGCAAGTATCTGACCGTGACCTCCGCCCTCAGCTGTTTCTGTAGCCGTACTCGTCTACCGTCTCAGTTCCTGTTAACCCTCTGCCACTATCGTCGCTCCTTTCTCTCTTTGCCGCATAACCCCCCTCCGGTACTTGGTCTTGCTGTCTCTTGTTGTCCTCGCCCCCTCCTCTGGTCTTCCAACTGACTGTCCCCCCCCCCCCTCACTGCCTAACAGACGCCGGCGAGGAGGCAGACGTGGAGGATATCCACGAGCGGCTGGACTACGAGGACGCCGCCGTCGACGAGCAGCAGGCGGCCGCCGTGGATGAGGACGAGTCGGCCGACGAGGACGAGTCGGGCCGCAGGCTGCTGCGGCTCATCCAGGAGCGCCAGAAGCGCCGGCTGGAGGGCGAGACGGAGCCGGAGCCGGCCGGGGCCGAGTCGGATCAGCCGCAGCAGCAGCAGCAGCAGGAGAAGGAGGAGGAGGAGAAAGAGAAAGAAAAAGAAAAGGCGCCAGCGGCCGACGAGAAGGCCGACAAAGTGTCCGGCGAGCGCGCCAAGCGGCGGTCCCACTCGCGCTCTCCTGCGCGGGGCGGCGGCCGGCGCCGCTCCGGCTCCAGGTCACGAGACAGGCGCTCCCGCTCGCGCGGCAAGGAGGCCGGCTCACGCGGTAGACGCTCAGGCTCCCGCAGTAAGGAGAACGGTTCCCGCAGCAGGCGGTCGGGCTCGCGCGGCAGGGACGCTGGCTCGCGCGCCAAACGCTCCACCTCTCGCAGTAAGCGGTCTGGGTCGCGCGATAAGGAGGATAGCTCTCGTGGAAAGCGCTCGAGTTCGCGCGGGAAACGTTCGAGCTCTCGCAAGCGCTCGAGCTCGCGTGGTAAGCCTGTGGGCTCGCGCAAGCGCTCCAGCTCGCGTGCTAAGCGTTCGAGCTCTCGCAAGCGCTCCAGTTCGCGTGGTAAGCGTTCCACCTCGCGCGGGAAACGTTCGAGCTCTCGCAAACGCTCCGGTTCGCGTGGTAAGCGTTCGAGCTCTCGTAAGCGCTCCAACTCGCGTACTAAGCGGTCAAGCTCGCGCGGGAAGCGTTCGAGCTCTCGCAAGCGCTCCAGCTCGCGCGGGAAGCGCTCAGGCTCTCGCGAGCACTCTTCCAGGGCCCGCGGTCGCCGCTCCCGCTCGAGGAACCGTCGTTCTCGCTCCAGGGACCGGCGCTCTCGCTCCAGGGACCGACGTTCGCGCTCGAGAGACCGCCGGTCTCGCTCCAGGGACCGTCGCTCGCGCTCCAGAGACCGCTACCGTCGCCACGGTCGTCGCTGAAGTGAAATGGGGCTGCCAGCGCCGACGGGGCGGTCCCGGCGGTAGTGTCCATGGCGCGCGCTGTGTCGGTGTGCTGCGGTGTCGGACGTTTTTGGCAGAGGTGGACTCTGTCACCGTTCGTCCGTCACTTTTAATCAACAACAACACGCGGTTAGCCTGCCGCCGCCGTCGGCCGTCGCCGGTCAGTGGTGTGGGCCTCGGCTCTGCTGAGCTCTGCGGAGCGAACGCGTCCGTCTCTGTGTGTGTACGTGTTGATCAAGTTCGTTGATGTGTCCGGATCCTAAATTTTTCTGCAGGCTCTTCAGGCACTGGGCTGCAGACGTATGCGGTCATGGGACAGACAACCGTATGTTTCGTGGTGTACCCGTAAATACAGTCGTACTCGCTTCTCTGGGCGTTGTTTTTTGGGGGGAGGGGCTGGGTGATTGAGTTTTCGGAACGCTTACGGTGCGTTGTGAACGACGATTAGATATTGGCAACAAATGACTGTGATATCCAGCAAGAGCAAGTAATCACTTCGCCGCGGGGCGACATGCGCCGCAAGCCGCAGAAAGCAATGGCTTAAAATCAAATCCAATTCTTCCGGCTGATTATTGCACCTTTTAATAAGTGCTCTCAAAGGCCAAGTGTTTCGTTGAAGAAGGAAGGAGCGAACTTTTCGTTCCACCCGTGAATGGGGCTCTGAACCGAAATAGTCATTCTGAAGATCATTCGTTGGTTCACAGCCCTGCCCGTAATAAGACCTAAACCCCTCCAGTTTTCGAGCTACACGCCCGCGAAAATGTAAGACATCCGGGGGAAAATTATTTCAAGGTCACCCAGGCCTCCATGACGTCATAATAACGTCATTCTAATCCTGCCATTCCATTACCCATACGGCAATCAAGGCCGATTAAGAAGATAATCTTCGAGTCTCATATCTGGCGTTGTGAGCACAATTTCCAGATATAACGACTGTCAGTTGGCTCCTTAAGCAACGTTATGCGCGGTACGATGACGTAATCAAACTATTACGCATTGCGGTGCATGCTTGCTAGGCGAAATCGTGTCGCGGTCTTTTCCGCAGAGCAGTCTTTTCCACTTGAAAGACTCAAATAGTTATAAGTGAAGTTATTTCATTACGTCTCGTACTTGCTTCATTATCTTCCAATGTGGGGCATTCCCATGAAAGGGAATGTTACCCCATGTTCCAAGCAACATTGGCTACGCCCTACCAACAACGCCATCAGTCCGCAATGATTTATTGAACGCCACCTGCGGTCTGCGGTCGTTGTCAGTGCAGATAATTTTGAGTCGCACAAATCGTATTTTGACGAATTGAATTCGGCCGACTGACCATTCGACGTTATGCACTCGTCCAATTGCTGTTCGTGAAATTCACACTTCGACAAAAAATGCAGTCGCTTAACAAATGGGCCATTTTCTATTCGTCGCATTATCGCTCCTCAAATTGGCATTTAAATGAAAAGGGATTCCGTTAATTGATCACTCGGTTATATTTCATTCATCTCATTACCTTTTGTTCAAGTCCCGTTTCGGCATAATAACAGTGAGCTAAATAGCATTTCGGTTGAGTAGTTATCAGCTTATTAGTATTTCAACTTATTTGCAGTGCTACAGTTTGTGCGTCGTCAAAAGGACACGTCATCGCTTTTTCGTTCACTTCTTCAATACGGCGGCAAAAGGACAGGACGTCGAAAAATACTGGGGTTTTCATACTTGGTGGAATAGCATTCGGTTAAATACGATACGGCGGTTTGTCCTGGAGCCCCTGCTCCCGCTAGCTACATATCAAGCGTACGGCTCTAAGAGTCGAGTGCGCGTTGCAACGTCAATGGAGCGATGCTTGGCTGGGTGCTCCATTCCCAAACTGACATTAGCGAGTCTGTCAGTTATCCATAAGGAAGCCAGGGAGCAACAGAAAAGCGGCCAAAAATGAAGTCCTCCGTTATGCGGCCACACTGATTTTCATAGAAATTTACCCCAAAACGCATGGTGAGACCAATTGAGGACCATTTTCCTGCTGCCCTGATGCAGGGTTCGGGCGTTGGGGAGGGTGCGATGAAGATGATATGCCCGCATTTCAAGCAAGAGCTATTGGTGGAATATGAGAAAAAGATGCGGTACGAGGAGGCAAGATCTGCGCACCCTGCTCACGACGAAAGCACTTTACAATCCGGATGTCGTGGTTAATGTTTCTCTTAATACGGTTAAACCGTTGCGCTGCAACCCTCCTGGGCAGTTGCACAGTTTAGAATGCGCTGGAAAATCAAAGAGCTCCCGAGGAATTTTTACATCTTCTGGTAGCCAATGCAAAAATTTTGACTACATGGTATGGCATAGCAATGCTTCAGTATACAAGAAACATGCCTTTCGAAAGTAAGATTCCTGTCCATAGCGACTCTCAGAATTGTTGTACAAGGGGATGAACGCAGCGTGAAGTCACCATTGCATGGAAAATATTAACCAAGATCAGTATTTGTAGGTCAATTTTTGCTGTTCTGCACGTACCTTGAATTATGAACTAATTGGCTCACATTTCTCGTTTACGGGTATCAAATGCCGTCTTTCGTCCGTTGTCAATGTCGGTTCGTCATCTGCTGTGAACTTTTATGACAAATTGACAAACTTAACGCCACCGTTGTCGTTTACGGCTGACCTTCCCTGACCTCTGCTATTATTTTAGCACCAGGCGGGGAACGTGTTGCATTGCCGAGCGAAGCCTGATGATCGAGTTTAGGAGATCCACCGATGGGTACAATTATAGGGCCTTGGGTACGATCAGTGATATTTAGAAGGCCGATGACACTGTCATAGCACTTGTAGGTTTGGTGATAGGCAATAGATCTATACTCACATGTTTTCCGCGATGCTCCGGTTTTACCCACCAAGGTCATGTGACTGATGTCCTTTTTCAAATATCGGTGATCCTGCGAGGACCACTCATCTGGTGAGGTACAGAGACACGCTAGTCAGGCGAGGCTACTACAGTCACGCTAGCCTTTGTGTTTTCAGAACAACGAGGCTGCTGGCGTTTAAGGCTTGCACTCAGTTAATTTTAATTTGCTGAAAGCTATATTGTACAATGTGCTATTTTACCCACGGGCAGTTGGCACAGATTTCCACCCATCACTTTGTACAGGTTTTGCCCCTTCCGTTTTGGCGCGATCCCCTACATATTGCAGCATTTATCAAATCAAAGAAATGGAATCAACCAAATCGAAGAATGCATCGAAATCATCTCCGTCAGTGAAGAATTCCATTTGAAGCCTTGGCCACACTTTTATGAAGGTCCGCTGACGCCATCTGGAATTGTGCGTCTGTCGCGTGGGGAGCGCCTTCTTCTGGCGACGTTGACGGCTTATTTGATAGCTCCTGACACTTTGACGAAAGCATAGAGGCATGTACGTTGCCAGCGAAGACAAGACTCCCGTCGTCTACAAGTTCTGGATCAGGTGGTGAAGATCTGTCTCGTCACCAAACGCTCTGCACATCGTTGGGGCATATATCTTCCCACAACCTGCGTCGGAGTCCTCAAAAGTGGCATGTCTGGTTGAATTATATCATTTATTTCAAAAACAATATCACCACGCAACAAGAAGTCACATCTTACATTCACAAACACAAAAATCCACACGGATCATTCTTAACAAAGACAAACATGCATAAATCAGGGCGCCGCGCCCCCATCACATCGGTTTATCCTTGCCATGTAGCACACACTGCTCTGGACGGTTCCCGTAGGACCGTCAGCTATGAACACGACTGCGTCTGAACGTAGTCTGCACGCCCATCGCCTTGTGGGAGTCCGGCGACCGACCCGCTCCATCCCACGCGCTAGAGCGGCGTCAGAGTCGGGCGCAGCTCACTGGAACTGGGGCCAGGGATCGTTGATGTGAGGCATCTGGCAGCAGACGCCGTCGCCGACGCCGCCGTCCTTCAGCTGGTAGCAGCGCAGCAGTGCTACGGTCGGCAGGTTCGACGGCCCCGTCGCCTCGAAGCGCAGGCCGCCGCGCACGAAGCCCGTATAGGGATTGCACATAGCCTCGGGCACGCAGACCAGGGAGGCGGCGCAGGTGCCCACGAAGCGGCCGAGCGGCCCCGAGTTGCCTGTTCCGGGGTTGCGATTCAGCTCCTGCACCGAGGTTGTCTCCGGCTGGATGAAGCGGATGGGCACCGAAGAGGAGAAGCCGAGCGGGCGCGCTGCTGGCTGCCGCACCACCGGCTGCCGCGCCAGCGGCTGCGGCCTGCTGTACGCCTGCCGGCCGATGACCTGCGGCTGCGACACGCCGTACGAGGAGTACGTCTGGTAGCTGTTGGGGCCGTACTGCGTGGTGATGCTGGGCGCTTGATAGGTGACATCCCCCGTTTGGAAGTCGCTGGTCACCGTGGTGAAGGAAGCGGAGCCTTGCCGCGCGGGAGGAGGGATGTAGTTGGTGCTCGGCGGATCCACATACCCATCCGGCACGGCCAGTGCCTGCGTCACTGCCGCGAAGAAGATCAGCGCGCTGTTCATGATGCTGCCAGCGAGCCGTCCGGGGCACGACTGGCCGCTGGAGAGCGGCTCGTTTTATTTTGACGTCCGCCGTCCCCGTGGAGTGGTGAGTCACTTCCACTTTGGGCGATCTGTTAAGAACTCCAGCAAAAATTAGGTCTTAGCCGCCAAACAGGTTCTGCGCCACTGCTCACCCGCATCACGCTCCAACACAGAAGATACCCTGTCTCCTGCGAACCCGGAGGCGTCGGTATCTACCTCGATAATTTATCCGAATGCCACTTGGCATGCGTTATAATGGTGAAAGCATTCACAGCAACCGTGTCTGTTTGGCATGTGTTATCATGGCGGAAAACTGCTCGGCGCGACAGAACAAAAACTTGTGGTCGCCTACGAGTAAACACCCTCTTAAGTTGTATGATGATCATATCGTACTTGAATTGTACTGGAGGGATTAATTGTCGTTTTATCGGTCAGCCTCTGCTCGTTTATCTCTCAAAGCGGTTTGTT